ACAAGTTCTTGCCACTCATCATCCCTGTAGTCGGGCGGCCAGGACCGGACCGGACCAGTGGGTTCGCCGTGGCCACCAGAAGGCAGTGACGGGGGATCAAAGGCGAATGGTAATCCTCACGTCTCAAATCAAAGGTCGCAGTAGCTAGTTCGTAGCTACTACCACTATCGGAGTAAAATTCGCGTAACATTCCGAAGTGGTCACTAGCCCAGACTGCAGTAGTACCGCCGCAAGTGGCATGTGTCCTACCTTCGCGTGGCGTCATGCATCGCTCCCCGTGAAAACAAAACTTTCCGACCGTAAGGAGGGAATCTGGATTCGAGACCGCCTTAATTTACACTTTTCTAATGAACTAGAGTGAATCGGCATTGTCCTAAATACCAGTTTAAAAAGAAAAAAAGCAAAAAAAGTTTCAATAAAAGACATCAGTTTGGGTGTCTCGAAAAATCGGCAGAAACGAGGGACAGGAGCTCTGGCCTAAAATTTTAATCTCGCTCCACAATAAGCCTATGGAGGGGGATCCGGGGGTGTCTTGAGTGTGGTGTCCTCTTTTTTTCTGTTTTCTTCTCTCTCGAGATTTTTCAAATACGGATTGTCTCCAGCTTGCCCTAGTTTGTCCATTTTATAAAGATGGTTTTCCGTGTGCTGCCGTTGTCGTAGGATGTTCTTTTTGTGGACCTTTGGCGCCGGCCTAATAATGGCGACAAAAATGGAGTCAAATGGCACCTGCGGGGAGCACAATGTCGAAGTTCACGGTGCTCAAATCGGAGGAGGACGACATTGACGAGTATCTTGAACGCTTTAAGATTTCCATGTGGTTGAACGCCGTCGAGAAGGATGACAAGACCATTGCTCTCACCGGAAAATCACTCGTTCGACACTTGCCAGTCACGAAGACGTACCAAGATCAATTCATATAGGTCGCGAAAGTGGAGCAAAAAAGCGGCCCAAAACCAATCGTCAGAATCATCACCCTGGAGGCCGTGCAACCGGAGCGCGACTGTGTTTTGCGCGGCCAAACACAGCTCATAAAATATTAAAGACATATTTTCGGTGTTTAAAATAGATTATTTTGATTAAAGTATTAATTATTAATAATAAATTATTTTAAACTTGTTTAGAGTGGTGAATTTTTCAGGTTATGTTTAATATGTATTATGTTGTGCATACTCGTTGCGACATCTACAACGTCGCTATTTTTCGCCGTCAGCAGAGGTTCGCAGTCCTGATACGCCTCGTGCTTGCATTGTCTGTGTTTGCCAGTATGCCTGCATTTCTGTAGCTCCTGTCAAACTTTCACTTTCCAATCGTTTAAAACAACTTCGCGGTCTTAAGTTTTCCCTCGAACGGTTTGTACTAGTCGAAGCCTAGTGCGCCGTTCTGGGGCTTTTGTCGTCGAGCGCCCGACGGGCGCGTTCAAGGCTCTATTCGTCGGGGCGATGAGCCTGCCCCATGTAAAGAGACGCTGCGTGGTAGCGCGATGCCAAGGTGATGACTGCACCGCTTGCATCACACTCCATCGTTTTCCTGTAGACTCTGCAAGGTTAAACTTGTAGCAGCTGTGTCCGCTGCAACTATGTGTGATGTCCTGATGTCCGTTGTCCGGTGATGCCTGATTAGCTCTTGACCTTTTCTATGAGCCCTCATGCATGCTCATTTAGGAATAGGCACCCGTTGATCGAGCTTTTTTGGGGCCCAGTCCCCGTTCCAAGCTGCGCGAGACGAAACTGATCTTAGATATTAGTGGCGGCTTTGCTTGATCTCTGCTGAACGGCTGCGTGACCCCAAAAACCTAGTAAGAAACAATGACTGAACATTTCAGTTTTAACGAAGTTTCATAATATGGTGTGAATAACACTAAGACATCCTTTCTGCTTGAAACGTGTTTGGTGTCGTCCTTCTAACATACTGGCGACTATCGGGTCTACTTGGTGTGGTTGTCGTGCTCGGGAATCTAGTAATGTAATCGTCTGCGTTGTGAACCTCTCTAACCTCAGGGGCACAGAGGTGTGCTCCGCGCTCATAGCGTTCGCTGGACCCAGACGGGAGACCAAGTACAATGATGTCACTAGTTTATCACTAACATTATTGTGTAATCTTCTTTCTTTCTTAAATGTCCACTTTATGATTAAAAAATTTACTCCGACTTCACATAACAAATTAATAACAAAAGGTACAGCCGTTTCACTTTTTAATCATGAATTCACCCGGCTTTTGGAACATTTTTGCATGTACACTTTAGCCCAGGGTATGTAAAGTAATACACTCCTTCACATTCAGGCGGAAGGTCTGTGTTCAGTCCTGCCGGAACACAAGCCTACAGAACAAGACACCACAGCAGCTGCGGGAACGGGCGGTATGCTCTAGGCACTTCAAACCCTCTGCATTCCTTTAACGAGGAAGGCTGCGTCGTGATGCAATACTAGCATATTTGACCACTGAAGGTGATCACGAAATATTGTTTTCATTATTACTGAGAAGGTAAGCTTATTCAGAAAGTATTTTACATGCAGATGCAGGGAACTGTTTCAGTGTACATAACGTGTGTGCTTAACTTTGCATAGGTGCGGGAGATGCCGTCTAGAGCAGCAGAAACTGGCCAATTGAGTAGCGAGGGCAAGCCCACATGGCCAGCAACAGTAGCACCGGTGGGCCCACATCATCACTGTGTCACACGCACCGCACTACGGAACAAGGTAAAAGCAATTGCATATTGGCGGAGAAGTGTTGCAGGCCTTGTTTCTTATATATTTCGGACTGTCGCATAGTAGCCATCCTTGGGAAACATGTAAAACATGTATGACCATGTTTTTAACCGAATGAGAGAAGGAGGTTTCCCTCTCTCTTCTCCAGCGTTCCGTCTGCTTCCTCCTCCCCGGCCCGTCTTACCCTCGCCCTTCGTTCTTAGGTTGCAACGGACTATCGCTTGTCACATGCCGCTGGAATTTCCTGAAACACTACAATGACTGATGTTTTTGACAGATTTTTTTTATTTGCATCATCATTGTTTTGCAGATGTGGGGAGCAGTCTCACGGCCCTGACCCCTAGCACGAAGACTAGCCCTCCAGCCAGAGTTCATGGTAGGTTTTGATGGTGTGCATTGTTTAGGACAGTCTTTGAAGATTACTTTGTTGCGTAGTACTTGACCAGCCATAGCTGGTTCAGCTTTTTGCAACCACTCTGTCACTTTGTTTCCTTTGTTTTGTTTCTTGTAGTGGATCACACATACGCGATGCAAGGCGCGATGGATGGACATGGTCTGCCGTCTGGAGGAAACGATGCGTGGGCGCCCGAACCTTCCTTTACCGATTATGATGCGTCAGTGACTTGGACTTCTGCAGTTTCTCACCAACGTAGGTGTCTGTCATGATGCACAAAGTTTACTTGTACTTCTACATTTTCTACAGTGGAGGCACGTTGTTTCTTTCACTGTTTCTCGGAACGTTTCATAATTGTTTTTGCTTTCCCCTTGCAGGGTCCTGTGCCACCCGCACCGAGGGCAAGGGGAAGATGGACGTGTTGACGGCCAAACTTCGACAGCTTCGGAAACATAACAAGAGACTCCAGCAACGACTGCAGCGACGGCGTCATATGCTGACTGTTACTGAGATAGCTGAAAGTGTACGTAGCCTTGTGTCTCCAGCCGTTGCTGCCCTTGTGGAAGCTCAGCTGAGGATGCCCAATGCAAGCAGGTGCGGTAGGCGGTGGTGCAGCCAGAACAAAGCCTTTGCCTTGGCTTGTACTTTCACAGCCCTAAGGGTTACCGGTACTGTAGGCAATTGTTGAGGCTCCCATTCGTTTGGTCGTTACAGCTTTCGCTTCAGCGTGTTCCCCTGAGGGTTGATTTTTACCCAGAAGTTTTCAAACTCATCAAAAGACTTGCAGCTTCTTTTTCACCAGAAGACAAGCCACGTGTCATTCTCTTTGACGAGAGGCACGTCACGAAAGAGCTCTCGTACAACCCCTCCGTGGACAGGTTTGAAGGGCTCGAAGAAAGTAACACTGGAAGAGGCCATAACCTTGCAAGCAAAGCACTTGCGTTTATGACTAAAGGCATTCGCACGCCATGGAAGCAGCCACTTGGCTATTTTTTTGCTCATGGGGGAACACCTGCCAACATTTTGCGAGACCTCCTTTTCCAGTGCCAGAATTTGCTTGTGAAAGCCGGCCTGGAGCCAGTAGCTGTCGTATGTGACCAAGGGAATCAAAATGTTGCTCTCTTTAATGACCGTGTTACCCCTGAGAAGCCCTACGTAACTGTGAACGAGAAGCCACTTTTTTTTCTAGTTGACGTTCCACATCTGCTGAAGTGCTCACACAATACGTTTTCCAAGTACAATTTTCAAGTTGGGGACCACACGTTGAGAAGCTCTTTCCTCAGGAAAGCCTACGAAAAAGACGAACAGCTTGAAATCCGGTTCATGCCAAGGCTTAGTGAAAAGCATTTTAATTTGACTTTTGCCTCCAAGATGTCAGTGAAGCTAGCAGCGCAAATATTCGGTAATCACTGTGCTGCTGCAATGTTTGCCATGGTAACTCTCCAGCAACTGCCAGTTGAAGCTATCCACACGGCGCGGTTTATTGATAAAATGGATCGTCTTTTTGATAGCTTGAACAGCTCACAGAAACGCGGGAAGAGTGCATATGTGTCTGCAATGCACGAAGGCTCTGTTCACAAAGAGTTTCTGAAAGGATGCCTTCCTATGTTCGAAAGCCTTAACTTTCTGGGTGCCCACGGCAGCCGGCTTGCACTCCCGGTTTCTCCTTGACCATTCGGTCTATTATGCTGATTTGTGAGCACCTGACATCTGAGTATGGTTTCAGATACCTTCTGACTCGCGATCTCATCTAAGATGCACTCGAAAACACATTCTTCGTAATAAGTTCAAAGTCAGGTGCGAACACCAATTCCTCTCGCCGGCAGTTTCAGGCAGTCTTTAGGCACCTCCTAGTTAGGAACTCGTTTAAACTGTCCGACTAGAGCAACTGCGAAGAGGGCATGGCAACTCTTTTAGCGGCTCTTCCAGTTGGTCTCTCAGCTCCCTCACCTTCACTTAGTCAAGGAAGCTCACTTCCACAATGTGCAGCTGACCTCACATCCTGTAGTTATCCCTCTTTATTATCACTTAACAACATGGTTTACTTTGCTGGATGGCTTGGAACAAGGTTTGTCAAGTTTCATGCATGTGAAAACGTGACTCAGCAATGGGATTTGCAAATCAAGAATGACACTTTTTCCGATGAGAGCCAAGTGTTGTTGTATTTGAGTGTGAAAGGAACGGTTGAAGGAGACTTTGGAAGCCTCTCAGTCCCTTCCCCTTCCTTTGTTTCTTTCGTTCAAGCTTGTGAGAAGGTTTTTGTGGCGTCAGTTGACAGTCTTGTTTTAAAAGAAGGCGTTGGGAAGGCATTGTGTATCACTCTTCATGAGAAGGTCGAAAAGCTGCTGACTCTCTGCAGTGAGGATGTCTATGATGATTTATTTGCTTTGTTTGCAAGCGTAAGGCTTTATCGGTTTGCTCGTAAAAAGAATACTGAGCTCCTTGATACAGCTGCGAGACGCAAAACCAAGCAACAAGTTCAGAGGCTGTGCAGATGAGACAACATGTGCGTTATGCCCACAGGAAGTCCCTTTAGTTTGTCTTACATGTTGCGTTCAGTGATCGCACTGGCATTCCGTATTGTGCGAGTACATACCTCTAAATTATCACACGCTTTGCTGAAACTGTCTACTGCGATGACCAAAGGAATCTAGCATATTTTCAATAAAGTGTAAAAGTTTGTTTCGCATGCTCAGACACTGCAATTAACGTATAGTGTCACAGGTGGTGACCAAAAAAAATAGGAAATAAACAGGAAGAAATAAACGTTTAATGCGGCGAACTTGTGCCAAAAAAAATAAAAGGGGGTACAACGATAATAACAGAGCGTCGCGGGCGTCGAAGTCGGCGGAGCGGCACAGTCGAACGCTGGGGCGAAACTGACTCGACAAGGTCGCGGTCGGCCTGTTATCTAGAGTGCGTCGCTATCTCGAAGATTCGGCGAAAGCGGTTCGAGCGTCGCGTGATCGGGGCGAGAATGAACACGCACTTTCTAGAAAACAAATGCAGGGATAAATGATAGAAGTTACGTGCGGTACATGAATAAACGGGAACTTTCTGGAGGACCGTGACCGAACGTTGCTTTCTCAGCCTTGCGCGCGGCATTACTCCCCCCTTTAAAAGTGCATCGCCCCGATGCAGGGTAAAACAAATCAAAATAAAAAAAAGAACGATAAACTAAAGAGTCTTTTGGAGCACAAAGGTCCACAGTCCTATCGGGCGTAGTACGGCTTCAGGCGCACGACGTGGACGACCTCAGGTCGTGGTGGGCGGCGTGACGATGTTCGTGTTCCGTCGGGCATCACCTCGTAGTTCAGCTCGCCGAGGCGACGAAGTACCTTGTATGGTCCAAAGTACCGTTTCAGCAGTTTCTCACTGAGGCCGCGGCGACGGATGGGCGTCCAAACCCACACCCTGTCTCCGGGCTGGAAGTGGACGTCCCTGCGACGAAGGTTGTAGCGGCCCGCGTCGACGCGTTGCTGGTCTTGAATCAGGAGTCGGGCGAGCTGGCGGACTTCTTCGGCCCGTTGAGCAACCACCTGGGCGTCGTCGCTCTCAATGTCAGCTGGCTCATGGGGTAGCATCGCGTCCAGCATGGTCGTTACTTTGCGCCCATGCACCAGTTGAAAGGGTGTCACTCTGGTGGTCTCTTGTACGGCCGTGTTGTAGGCAAATGTGACGTACGGCAACAACTCGTCCCATGTCTTGTGCTCCACGTCGACGTACATGGAGATCATGTCGGCGATGGTTTTGTTGAGTCTTTCCGTCAGCCCGTTGGTCTGCGGGTGGTACGCCGTGGTGCGACGATGGCTGGTGTGGCTGAGACGAAGGACTTCTTGCGTCAGCTGGGCCATGAATGATGATCCACGGTCTGAGATCAGGACTTCGGGAGCGCCGTGCCGGAGGACAATGGGCTCGATGAAAAAGTTGGCGACTTCAACCGCCGTTCCTGATGGAAGGGTTTTTGTCTCGGCGTACCGCGTGAGATAATCGGTTGCGACGATTATCCATCGGTTTCCTTGCGTCGACGGCGGGAAAGGTCCGAGTAAGTCCATACCGATTTGCTGGAAGGGGGCAGATGGCGGCGCAATAGGCTGAAGAAGTCCTGCCGGTCTCGTCGGTGGTTTCTTCCGTCGTTGACACTCGTGGCAAGATCGGGTGTAGTGGTGTACTTTCTTCGCAAGCTTGGGCCAGTAGTACTTTTCGCGTATCCTCGCAAGAGTCCTGCTGTAACCAAGGTGTCCCGCCGTCGGGTCATCGTGGCAGGCTTGAAAAATTTCTTCTCGAAGACTGCAAGGGATCACCAACAGCCACGCCGTGTTGTTGTCGTTGAAGTTCTCCTTGTACAGTACGCCTTGTCGGATGGAGAAGGTTGGCAGTGTTCGTACAAAACCGCGGGGAACGGCGCTTCCTTGTCCCTCTAGGTGCTCGATGAGTGCTCGCAGCTCAGGGTCGTCTCGTTGGAGTGCTGCCATGTCGCTGACATCCAGAGCGCCGAGGAAACACTCATCGTCGTCCTCTTTGGTGCAGGCAGGACCGGCCTCGACTGGGGCCCCTGACAGGCAGTCAGCGTCATTGTGCTTCTGGCCGGACTTGTACACCACGGTCATGTCGAACTCCTGCAGTCGTAGGCTCCACCGAGCGAGGCGACCGGAGGGGTCCTTCAGATTCGCTAGCCAGCAGAGTGAGTGGTGGTCTGTGACCACGCGAAAAGAACTTCCATACAAATATGGGCGAAACTTTGTTATTGCCCATACGACGGCGAGGCACTCCTTTTCGGTCGTTGAGTAGTTCCTCTCCGCGCTAGACAGCGTCCGACTTGCGTATGCGATAACTCGCTCGGCTCCGTCCTGCACTTTGTGGGAGCCGAGGATGAAAGACGAGGCAGAGAGCACTTGACAGGCGGCCGGCGGAGAAGACACGAGCTGGCGCGAGACAGTGCGGGCGGAGCGATGCTGGTAGCTGGACAAGAACGACGGAGCCGGGGCTGCCTGACCTGGCCCATCGAACCCTGGAGCGGTCCACCAGCAAGGTCTGGAGCAAGACCGGTGGAAACGGCAAGCCCGGGCCATATGACCTGGGCTATGACGATCCGGGGGTGGTTCAGCAGCGAGACCCGGGCATTGATAGCCCGGGACAGACAGCCTACGCAGCGCTGGCGTGGGAAAGGCGATCCGCAGGCCTGGACACGGACCCCCGACTGTGAGCTCTGATCGACGGGCGACAACAAGGGTCGGCGGGCCTGGACTACTGGCTCTCGACGACGGGCAACCGAGAGGTACAGTAAACCCATTCGCTGTCTTCTCGTTGCAGTGTGTAACTCCCTGGGTGACGGGCGGAGCGCATACCGATCGGGCGGCGATTATTAGTAGAGGGAGCTCCGTTAAAGAAACCCACATTAAAATGGCGCATCCAACGTGGGGCCCGTTCGGTATGCCTCTGCTTCTAGTCGTCCCCAGAGAGTCCCATGGATTCGTTAAGCGGGTTGTTCACTAACGCTAACGATGCCCGTTGAGACAAAGTATGTTGGAATTTTGGTGACTTGTCTCACAGCAGAGCTCAGCAGGTGTCTCCTCGAATCGAGTACTTGAAGGTCTCGAAGGACGAGGTGGCGGGCGCGCGTTCTCGGGTACCCCAGAATAGTGGTTGGCAGGAGGTGACCCAACCGGGGGGAACACGAGGAGCGCGGTTAAGATGTAAGAAAGTCGTCTTCGGAGGCAGAGGAGAGGCACGGCAGGTTTGCTGGAAGGCAGGATAGCGACTGGCAGGAGGGAACACAGCCAGGACTTATTCCATATTTAGGATTTAGGCTTGGAGTGATGCGGTAGGCAAGCAAGCGCTTGTCGAGGCCCGGGGTGCAGATGGGGTTTTGTCAGTGGGTGTCGGAAAGATTGCGGGAATTGCAGTCGACACCGGGAACTCTGGCGGTCGAGATTGTCAGCGGGTGTTGGGTAAACTGGCGTAAATTGCAGTTGACACCGGGAACGCTGGCAGGCGAGTTAAGAAGCAGTATGATTTGTAACCGCTGGGCCAAGACGGCTAGTGGTTTTGCGTCACTCCAACAACCGACGAAGGGCAGAGGGACGACTCTCCCTTGAGGGGGTCGTTCCGAGAAAGCTACGCAATGTTTTATAGGATACTTTTTCGGTTTCACTCTGGCCGGTCGTGGCAGTGACAGCAAGACTTTTGATAAGTTATGTCGCGTCACGACCTGGCCGGGGATGAGGCGGTAGACATTTAGGTGGCTTGTAGTTGTCCAGCTTGCCTTGAGGCGTGAACGGTTCAGGCGGGCAGTTCTAAGCCCGCTGTGACCTCTAAGCGGAACGGGGCAAGTCCGTCTGCGTCGGCCGGACCAGCTTAGAGCAAGCCCCCTGCTGCATCGCGGTGAGTGGGACAGCGAGCGACAGACAGGTCGGCATTGTCTGCCGGCTTCGCTAGCCACCACCAACTACGCCGCTTTCGTACGCTGCAACGTGGACACTCCGGCAACAGCAACAGCGGCCGCCCATGAAGCCCAGCGGCTCCCTGAGGCCCATGAAGTCCCCCGAAGTCCGGGCCTTGAGGGGGGGAGAGTGTGGGAGCCGAGGATGAAAGACGAGGCAGAGAGCACTTGACAGGCGGCCGGCGGAGAAGACACGAGCTGGCGCGAGACAGTGCGGGTGGAGCGATGCTGGTAGCTGGACAAGAACGACGGAGCCGGGGCTGCCTGACCCGGCCCATCGAACCCTGGAGCGGTCCACCAGCAAGGTCTGGAGCAAGACCGGTGGAAACGGCAAGCCCGGGCCATATGACCTGGGCTATGACGATCCCGGGGTGGTTCAGCAGCGAGACCCGGGCATTGATAGCCCGGGACAGACAGCCTACGCAGCGCTGGCGTGGGAAAGGCGATCCGCAGGCCTGGACACGGACCCCCGACTGTGAGCTCTGATCGACGGGCGACAACAAGGGTCGGCGGGCCTGGACTACTGGCTCTCGACGACGGGCAACCGAGAGGTACAGTAAACCCATTCGCTGTCTTCTCGTTGCAGTGTGTAACTCCCTGGGTGACGGGCGGAGCGCATACCGATCGGGCGGCGATTATTAGTAGAGGGAGCTCCGTTAAAGAAACCCACAACTTGGACTAGTACCGCACCCAGTCCGGTGTTACTGGCGTCGGTGTGGATCTCGGTTTCAGTAAACTGGTCGAAATGGCCAAGAATCGGGGGCGTCTGGAGTCTTCGTTTGAGCTCGTCGAATGACCTCTGGTGTTCTTCTGTCCACTCGAACTTTACGGCGTCCTTCGTGAGGTGTGTCAGCGGTGCGGATAGCTTGGCGAAGTCTCGAACAAAGCGCCTGTAGTAGGCACAGAGTCCAAGAAATCTTCTCACGGCCTTCTTGTCAGACGGCGGCGTAAATGCAGCTACGGCGCGGGTCTTCTCGGGGTCAGGTAGAACACCCTTGTTGTTCACGACGTGGCCAAGGAACTTTAGTTGCCCATAGGCGAACCGACACTTCGTTG